AAAATTGTGGAAATTAAAGCAAATGTTTTTCAACATGCTTATTTGTTGTATTCTTCCTTGTGCTGCTCAGCATCACCTCAATAAATAGCTTCCTTTGCCTGATTTGCTTCTCAGGTAAGAAGTACCTGAGTTTCACTGACAGTTTCACTGTCAAAAATAGCTGCAGTTAAAAAAAACAAAGTGTTTGAGCGTCACATCTACAACACGCAGACAAACAAGTGTTAAAAAAAACCCCACAAATATCCTTCCTTTTACCACTGCGTAATTTTCCAGAACCAAACCTCCCACCAAGCTGATTAAATGGCAAATGGAATCAGTTCAGAAGACAGGTGCCGACTAAAGAAAATAATCTTACGCAAGAACACAATCTCCTCTCGTTTTTCTTGTGTTCAGCTTAATCTGTCAAAAGATTAAACCAAACAAGAGATTATTGGGTGAATATCTGAGCTGACATTTAAGATCACGGAAGTTTATTCAGACAATGGTTGTATTATTTGAAGATTTTCTGAAGTTAAGCACAGATCAAGACCAAATCCCAAAAGGGTGTGAAAGGAGAAATGGGCGCAGACATTCCCTAAAGGACAATTGTTGTCTCCTGACAGGACAGTCCAGCTCCCTCCTAACCAAGAGCAGTTTTGATGCAACTTGTCCATAGTCTGAAGAAAACACGTGGTTTCTGGTGCTAAATAATGCAGCTTGGTTAAACTGCTGCACACAGCAATAAGCAAATTATCACCAAAGCTGTTAAATGGAGACTGCTTTTAAGTGAACAGCAACGCCCATGAAGAAATTGATCCAGGTGGGTATAAAGTAGCAGCATATTATCATTTAACATGAGGAGCATGACAGAGAATTCACAGGGCTGTCTGGCTCGGAGGGGCCTGATCGCATCAGCCCATCAGTACTTGGGCCAACCTTGCCCTCCATGGAATTATATAAAAGCAGGAGGGGAGAGGAAAAGAATAAAAATAGTTTTTAGCACCTAGACGTGTCCACTGAGAAATACAAATCCTCTCAAGGGTGCTACTCATAAGCCTTGTGTTTTACCTCTGCACAGCTGAGCACACAAAGTGAATCCGGGGACAAGCAGGGTTGGGGACACCTCTGCTCACACAACTCGTCCATTTTTGTTAAGAACATCAGAGCAGAAACAAGTACCGGCCGGTGACGTTGCTTCTGGATGGAAGAGAGAGCTGAGCTACAGCACAGGTCAGGATTTGTCTCAACTTGCTGTAGCCTACAGGCAAATTTAGGACAAGTAAGACTCGATATCCTTTCATATTCTTTGGGGTAAGTATCTCCAGGATGCTTTCAGCTGCTGTTGACAGCAGGAGGCTCCATCAGCGGTGAAGGTAAGACACAGAGAGATCACGCTCCAACTCAATTTAATAAGCTCCGTAACGAACTTGGACAGAGAGTGGTTTGAAATAAGTTGAGCAACACTCATCTACTAGTCAAGGATTTTTTTTTTTTCTTTTAAAGTAATGCTTTTAAGCTTATACTCAAGCATACAAAGCAGAAATTTTACAAATTAAAAACAATAAAATCATCCTAGAATAATGTAATGGCTTCCGCTATATGTACAAGGAGTGGAAAGGAGACAGAATTCTTTCCAGGTAATTTCACACATCTTAAATGCTACATAAGTGCTCTCCACATTCATTTCCATTTTTCTTTTACTGTGGGTGGAAGGAGCTGAAAGTGTTTTAATGAAATCATCTTAAAGAGAGCGAGGTACTTCACCTGATTCCAAGCTGCGTATGTTTGCCTCTTCAAAAAGCCTTGAGAGGAAATGCTTTACTTAAAATTCTGCTGTTAGTTTCTGTGCAGCAGCCTCTGTTTTTCCAGCTCTACTAAAATTAAACAGTTCACTAAATATTTCTCAGAAAGCACCACCAGTACTTCATCTTCATGGAAACTCGTGATTCCCCCACCCTTGACAATGACTCCACTGTACAACAGGAGTATCATAGAATCATAGAATGGTTTGGGTTGGAAGGGACCTTAAAGATCATCCAGTTCCAACCCCCCTGCCAGCAGCAGGGACACCTTCCACTAGACCAGGTTGCTCAAAGCATCATCCAGCCTGGCCTTCAACACTTCCAGGGAGGAGCAGCCACAGCTTCTCTGGGCAACATGTTCCAGTGTCTGACCACCCTCACAGTGAAAAACTTCTTCCTAATATCTCATCTAAACCTCCCCTCTTTCAGCTTAAACCCATTTCCCCTTGTTTTGTCATTAGTTGCCCTTATGAAAAGTCCCTCCCCAGCTTTCTTGTAGCTCCTTCAGGTACTGGGAGGCCACTATAAGATCTCCCTGGAGCCTTCTCTTTTCCAGGCTGAACAGCCCCAACTCTCTCAGCCTGTCTTCATAGGAGAGGTGCTCCAGCCCTCGGATCATCCTGCTGGCACAGTTTAGCTTAGATTGTAACCACAGAGATAGTAACCACTTAGATAGTAACCACAGTTTAGCTTAGATTAGGCAGGCAGAAAAGAAACACCTAACAGCGAAGGAGACAGGTATTAGGGAGGTGATAAGTTTCAGGAAAAATAGGAAGAGAGATTTGTAGCCTCATCAGAACACACTTGATAACACAGCCTTTCTGCAGAGGCATAGAAAACAGGATTATTTTACAACCCAACTTCAAGTCCACATCATTAATGAAAAAAAATCTCATTTGTTTTCAACAAAGGGAAGGTTGGGGGAGGAATGAGCGTAGTGCACCGTGTTTAATCACCAGATTTGTTTGCCACCGTTGAGTTGGGAAACAAATCTTCTTACAAAAGTTATTTTCATATTGTTCTAAATTTTAAGTGGAAGAAAAATATGTCTTTTTTTACACTAAAGCAAACGGATCAAAGTGGCATTTAATAATATTTGTTAAAGTGGTTATCTAACAAAACTGGGTTAACAAAATCCCATCCATTAGTAGTCACCAAATAAGACATTTCTCATGCATATGACAAAAGTTCATTCGTGTACTGAGAGGTCTGTTTACTGTGTACAATATTTCCATAAATTATAATATGTTTCACAGCCCCTACCATTCAAGAATATTTCAAACAGATTATATATTATATTTGTATATGCAAACTATTTTATATACACTAATATAAAGATCCTTAGAAGTACCATTATCACTACCTTTATGCTTTCTCTAAAATGCATAGCTTTCAAATATTTTCTTGCAGTTACCAAAAACTTTACAGATTAAAGCTGCTTATCAATGTGGCATGTTCATAAAAACAAAGTGAAATAGTTTTATACTAATTTTATATTAAACCCCTTAAAAAACATGTTTAAGTGGAAAAAACAAACCCCAAGCTAGTGAAAATTCAAGTAATCTATGCTCAATCTCTGCCCAAATACTATATGAAATTAATGTAGCTTTCTAGAAGTACAGTGAACTTCTCAACCAGGACTGTAATTCTGCATTTCTCATGGAGAAAAATGCTAGTCATGCCACAAAAACACACCACTTGCCATTTCAACCAGGAGAAGCTTTAGGTGAGATTTAACAACACCACAAGTGACAGAACAGAGGAAAAAGCTGATGAGTTATATATGAAGAAATTAGAGCTGTTCCAGTTTTGTTTCTGCAGTTTGTTATTAAACAAAGTTACATTAACCATACAGTTTCTCACAAACTAAAAGTTATACATGGTTTTTAGACATCAACCGACTGGAAAAAGGAGAAAAAATAAAATAAAATAAAATAAAATAATAAAAATAACCCACAACTGTTAAAAAGTTTGGTGTTAGAAGAACCAGTCTGGGTGAAGGAAAGCCAGACCACTGTTGTAGTCGGGGGGGTTACCAATAGCTTGTTTGTTATGTGGGATGGAGGTCTTAAAATTTATACAAATACCTCAAAGTGGAGAACAGAACCATCAGTAATAAATGGGAACAAATAATTTTGTTCTATCCATCATTTCGCTCAACCTCAGTGCTCCACCACCTCTAATAACTGCTTAACAAACAACAGTTTCCCTCCACACACAAAAAAAATAGCTACAAAAGTAAACAGTGTTCACAGTAATGCAATCAGGAACAGGGTTGGTTAGTTTCCCCAAGTCAGGTGTATCTGCAAAGCTTTATACAGTTTAATGCGTAAAGTATTCCAGTAAAATTAAGTGAAAACTAAGTTTCATCCTACAGAGTCATATCTACCATACAAGACTAGATTATGTACAGTATGGGACTGGTGTGACAACTGCCAGTGTCTCACGATGTTAAGCTATTTCACCCATCAGAGCGGTCTTTGTTCAGCATATCTGTCATAACTTGATATACAGACCTAAAAAAAATCTAGAGATTTGGCAAGATTAGTGCTTCCTACCACTGGGTATATACCAGTGTACAGTGCTGCAAAACTTGAGTCGACCAGAACATCCCATACCCAGAAAATTACCATTTGTTGACTTGAAAGTCTGGACTTCACAGGTAAAAATGTTAAAACGATCATCCTAACTGGAGTGAAGACAGTCAGTAAACAAATACAGGTGAAGATGAACTGCATCTCTTCAGAAAGGTATGGAAAAAAATGGAGAAAAATGGAAATTTCTGGTTTTAGACAGCCCTGCTCTGCTCAGCTCAAGGCATAAAAACAGCCCAAGTAGCTTTAAAACTACGATTCTTATTCAGCAAGCATCAAGGCAGATCCTGCACGAGATAACGCATCAGAGGATTCAACCAGGAACTCTCCCCTCCACTTAATTTCCTAACACAAGCGTGTCTTTCAGCTTACAAACACCCACTGGCTTTCAAAGCTTGAGTAGAATCACTGCAGTGTCTAATTAATATAGTGGGGAAAGGCCCCTGATAACAAAAACAATCCAATGCCTCTGGGGAAAATTTTGGTCATTTGTGAAAATTAAGGGGAAAAAAAAAAAATAAACAACAAAACCCCCAAACAAACAAAAACTTATTTCCAACAATACTCCTCTGGAAAAGATGGGTCACTGATCCATTATGAACATAGCTCTCACCATATAAAGCACCAAAAAGTCAGAAACAAGGAGGGAAAAAAAAACCCAAAAAGTCTTTAAATTATGATTTACAAGTTTGTACACTATTTCCTAAGCAAAAAGTTGACCTTACTGTAAAGTTTATAGATGAAAAGTTGACCAGTTAACTTTTAAGGGGAATGTGTATCTGGCTATAACTTAAAAGGTAGAAAATATTCACTGTTCTATATACACATTTCAAACAGGAGACAGTTAAACTGAACTGAATAGTCGCCAATATAACTCGGTATTAACTCGCTGGCCACTAAACTGGGCATCAGGAGCCAATTTAGAAAGCTTGTACTTTTAAAAATGCTATTTTTTCTTTCCTGTCCTGTTTAATTGGTTTTTGTTTTAAAAATGTATTCTAGTGCATAGCCTAAGTCAGACTTTCAAAGAGATACAGCGCCTTTCAATGCAGTTTTTGCAGCATTTAAAAGGGACTTTTCTCCCTTCAAATTAGATGTTCATTGAAAAAATCTGAATTGAGTGCTGTACTGTAGTAAAAATATTTCAGTCACAGACTGATATAAATGGATACTGTGCAGTACCAAGATTGTTTGATGTCCATCTGCACACATTTTACTTGGGTTCTTCGATCGTCCCCTTGCTGAGGTCTGTCATTTTGGGATATTTCACCTTCTTCTGGTCCAGCTCATTCTGAGCCCACAGTAGTAGTTTCAGTAATTTTGCCAATTTGGGTGTTGATTCACGATTTTCATAGTCTAGAACAGCTTGATTAACCTCACTCCATACCTGGAAAAGAAATACTGGAGGTCAGTAATCGTTTTCCTATGATGCTAATGTCACACAGACATGGAAAAGATCACACCTAGTGTGCTAATTTCCTCAGAACATGCTCAGGACAAAGCTCCACAGACTATGAGCCTGGAGAAAACAAGGAACAGAGCCAAGAAATTGAATAAATTAACACCTTTTTTTTTTTTTAAATCTTGCTTCAGAAATACTTCTGCTTTTTTACATACCACTATATATTTTTTTTTCTAAACATTTCAAAAATATTTGGACATCCTTTTCACCACATAAAACTAAAAAGACCAAGTTTCCTTGTGAGAAAGGACTACCTTCTGTCGCTGCATCATGTTAAGCAAGTCTCCAAATGGTGATTCCTCGGGATTATCAAAGGCAAGCAGAGCCAGCGTGCGCTCCATTTCTGTCAGGCACTCCCTGCTCTCCTCCCCTTGTTCTGCTAATTGGGTCTGAGCAAATTCCAGAGCTGCTTCTGTCTCACGCTGCCGAATCAGTTCAATCAAATGCTGCTGCTGCATAGGAAAGACAGAAATCTGAGCTACACAAATGAACAGATCTTCAGTATTTCACAACTGCAATCTTTAGGTAGTCACGTGTCATTTGAGAGAAACACTAATGCAGAATTTGACAGTTTTGAGGTCAATTCTTCCCCAGTGTGTGAGACAAAGGAGCAGCAGATTTGCCTACAAAATGTACTGGAAAAGGTAACTTGATGCTTTTGAGTAACACATTTTGAAAAGATGTGTTAGCAAAGGAACCACCAGCGAGTCAGGCTCACAGGAACTGGAAGCTGGTAAGTCACAGACCACAAAGTTTCCCACAGCTACAAAAATGATGCCAAGAACAACCACCCGTGTTCAGCCCCAAAACCCTCGTAAAACCTGCGCTACTTTTCGCCGTCTCTTCACAACCTCTAAAATAAAAACAAAGCTTCCTTACCTGCAAATGGAAGTAAAGATATCTGTTGGTATCTAACAATTCTGGATGGAGGCTGTTTATTAATGCAATGGCTTCTTGAATCTGTCCTTTCAATATCATCTCTCGAATTTTTATTCTTTCATCAAGAGTCTCTAAATCAACACTGGGTTCAATTCCAGATTCCATTCGAAATTTCTCTGCTGCTTCTTTAAAGCCCTCTGAAATAGAAACATTTTACCTATCAAATATATTTTATTACATACTTTAAAAAAGAAAACAAATAAAACAGCTTAAATGAAAAGACTTGTGCATTTTGGAGGTGTAAAGATTTAAGTTTGAACTTCTGAAAAACTCTTCTCTATTTAAATAGGCATCTATCCAGCAGGCATCTCTCAGTACACACTTACTTCACTCTTAACACAAGTGCTCTCATTCTCTAAGGACACATGCAACTGGTAGTCAGATACCTCTTAACTTGAAAGCTTGTTTAATACTTAAAGTCGTGGACTTATTCCAAAAATGGGACTTTCAAAATCACTTTTTCAAAATTTGAGGGGTTTTGCTTCTCCCTCCAGCCCCCAAATCTGTTCACACAAACTCAGCAGTTTTACTGAGAACAGAAAAAGAAAACTAATTTAGTTTTCTTGTACTAACACTAGATTATTTTTTTTTAAAGCTATAACAGCTATTTTAAATCCCAAGTCATGTTTCCATACACACAAAATGATTTACACCAATCAGATGCTCTTCCTTCAGCCACACCATTGTAAACAGGGGTGTAGATGGGATGCAGATGCCTCCACCCTGGTGTAGCTTACTCTGATGGAATGCATCATAATTGCTAGGGACAACTTCCCAGGGCTCTGGATTGTCCTCGGTGTAAAGTCAGGCCATGTGCTGACAGGGGTGGCAGTTTTGGTCTGAAACTACTCTGACAACAGGGTCCTTTTACAGTTTATCTTTCCAGGTAAAACTTGTTTCCATGCAGCTTTCAGAGGGGTAGGTACCAACCACCACAGATGGTGAACTCAGTTTGAAGGGCACAAAAAAGAACATCACACAGAAGCAGGTTGTGTTTGTTAACAGCACTCCAGAAAATACATTCTTTTCTGTATCTTTTAGCAGAAGAGTTAAAGTTAATAAATGTCACTTAGCAGAAGAGTTAAGGTTAATAAATGTCACTTCTCTTGCATGGTAACTGCTGGGTCTCTGAATTTTAGTCAGTTTCCACTTAATGGAACAACAGAGCAGTTGGATGTTGCTCAGAGAAGCCAACAGAGTCCTCAGAGCCCTTAATTCACTCCATCTAGTAGCACATTTTTAGCCAAAACTGTCTGTCTTGATAAATGAAGCAACACACATTTCAGAGCTCCCGAGCATCGCTGTTCAGTTTTACCTGTGACAAGGTAGTTCATGATGAGGCGGTTCATGTCTGCTCTCTGGATATGCAAGTTATTAAGTTTTTCCATCCATTCATCTTTTGTTATTTCATCAGGTTTTTCAGCATAACTCATCCTGGACTCTTACTAGGGGAAAAGCAAAGCAGCTCATTTAACATGAGTCAAGAAAAAGTAAGTTTAAAGTGTATAAGCACTAAGTTACCACCATCTTCATAGACAATCTTCTTTGTGAGAACTTTTAAGTTAATAGTTCAAAAGAGACTCTTTTATCTCAAACCACAGTTTTACATGTTTCTCCTCCTGGCTGCAGAACTCTCTCACATCTCCAAGCCAGTTTCTAAAGCTGCTTTCATCAATCATCAGAATAAAAAATTCAAATACCATCTTCTTGTACTTACTCTTAAATCCACTCCAAATAAACCTTGTTTGCAAGTTATACAGGACACACAGCATCAGAGTGGGAAACAGGTGAATCGAGAAATTTGACAGCTAGCCAGAAGAACTGTAACAAAACTTTAAAGTGAAGCCTGCGTAAACAATATTTGCTTTAAAGTTTTCACCAAAACTCGGGTAGAGCAGCCACATATACCCTGTATAGCTACAAAACTGTACGTGACACGTTACCCAATGTACAACTACAAGACTTACACTGGCTTAGCCTCGCTGTCCCCAAAAGTCCCCCTGTCAACACTACTAAAATGTTATTTCCCGGTATTTTCCTCGATGTTATTTTTTTTTTTTCCAGATTTGTCAGCAAAGCGTTTTGCTAAAACCGGCATTTAATCATTTCCACACCCAACCAGGATCGCGGGGGCAGCGACAGGGGGGGGAGAGGCGGCGACAACAGCAGCAGCAGGGA